TGTGTGTGTGTGTGTGTGTGTGTGTGTGTGTGTGTGTGTGTGTGTGTTTGTGTTTGTTCTTAGTTCCGACTCGGCCGGGTGGCAGAAAGGAGTCATATATGCAGATGGCCAAAACCTCGCACGGCTGCTCATGGAAGCTCCCGCCAATCACATCACTCCTACTGCTTTTGCCAACACCATCGAAGAGAAATTAGCGCTGCATGCTGAACGAGTCACAATAAATAAGAGGTCTGTGAATCATTCATCATTACTGTAGTGTCCCAATTATGTCAGTACTCAGAAAACAACAACAAAGCATGCGGACATGTGAAATACAGAACATTATTTTGATTTGTCGCACTGTTGAACGCCGTCTTAGATGTGTGTGCTCTTTAATCGTCCGAGTTAAGGCATTTTGGGACACGTAAATGAATGGATGTTGAACAACATTTGACATTTTTGCTCTTTAGACCAAGTGATTATCAACCAGAAAACAATGTAACAATTATATAAACAATTCTTGATAGCCGTTCAATCGAAATATTCTCTTAAAACAAGGTCTTCTCTGATTATTGCTCCTTTTTTGCACCCTGAAGAGTTTTTATCTCATAGTTCCTGTGTTTCTGTAGATCTCAGGCCTGGATAGAGCAGCAACAGATGGGAGCGTTTCTCAGTGTGTCTAAAGGCTCAGAGGAGCCCCCTGTCTTCCTGGAGCTACACTACAACGGTTCTCCTGACAGCAAGCAGGCCCCACTGCTCTTAGTGGGCAAGGGCATCACCTTTGACAGGTAAACCATAATAATACACACTCAAGCCCATTAACTCACATAAAAAAACTTTACAAAGCTCACATTAATGCTGTTTTGGCTCCTCCTTGGTAGTGGTGGTATTTCTCTGAAGCCGTCTTCTTCTATGGATGCGATGAGAGCTGATATGGGGGGAGCTGCCACCGTGTGTGCGGCTATCGTCACAGCAGCAGCTCTGAAACTACCGGTCAACATTATTGGTAAACGTTTTGACAATATGGATCCTTCAACTTCATTGTTTTCTACCATAGATTATAAATTAGAAAATCTACAAATATCCAGAGTCCATAAAACCCCACGATTGACTTAAAAAAATGTTTTTATAACTTTGAATCACCGCATGTACTTATTATTGATGTTGTAATGACTCAAACAAATCTCTTAACCTGTCTGTTTCCACTGGTTGCAATAAATCAGGTCTGGCGCCCCTGTGTGAGAACATGCCCAGTGGAAAAGCTACTAAACCAGGTGATGTTGTCACGGCCAAAAATGGAAAAACAATCCAGGTGGGTGGAACGAACCGTTACGTGAGTGTGATACGTTTGTGCACTTATATGTGTGTATACAGATGGACAGGTTTTATTGTCGTTTTGTACAGGTTGATAATACAGATGCAGAGGGCCGACTGGTTCTCGCTGACGCACTGTGTTACGGACACACTTTCAACCCCAGAGCCATCGTCAATGTTGCTACGCTAACAGGTGGGATTTTTTACAGTGGGTTTCTTTACACAGTGACAGTTGGTGACAAGAAACAACTATTTAAAAAAAAAAAAATCTTTACATCATGTTATGATCTATTTCAATTGATCTTTTGTTGTGGACCAAACAATCGGACTGAGCCCGTCTAAAAAGCTGGTTCTCAAGGAAGAAACTGTCAAAGAATCTGTATATAATGCAAAATCATGATCTAATCATGGATACACTGATACATGTCAGGAAGTGAATGCAGGCATTTTGCGTGCTACATCAGAAAGTAAGAAGGAGTTTAAACAGAGGTGTGGTGGAGGTGTTTGCTTCTCCAAGCCAAGGTCTGTATTCAGTAGTATAACCGCAGCGTCCCCAGTTCAAATCTCACTAGGGACCTTTGATGAATAACATTCCCTTCCCTCCCTCTCCTTATCTCCTGTCTATATCCTGCCGCAAAAAGAAAAATCTTTAAAAAAGGTGTGTTGTGGTTGTGTAATTTAGCCTTTCCTCTTTAAAAAGTAAAGAGAACTGTAACGATCGCAAAGTATCTATAACCCCTCAAATCACGGTACAGGATGCCTCTTCTTCATCCTGTTTTAACCTGTCACTGTGTTCTTATTCATGACCTATGAGGTCCAGTTGTAGTCTTAATCATTAGTGCTCATGATGCAGGGTGACAATAAGTCAGCATGAACATGTTGGGGACCAACTGAAGTGAACTACAAGTTCTGATAATAAGATAAGCAAATATAATTTGTAAGTTTTAAACTGTGTCTTCTTTTGTCTCCAAGGTGCGATGGATGTAGCTCTTGGCTCAGCTGCAACTGGAGTGTTTACAAATTCTGACTGGCTCTGGCAGCAGCTGCAAAAGGTATTGTGTATGCACAATAAACATACTCGCAACCTCTCAGTCCATCAGCTCCTGTGTTGACTAAGTGTGTGTGTGTATGTGTATTTGCAGGCTAGTGTTGTGACAGGTGACAGAGTGTGGCGGATGCCTCTGTTCCAGCACTACACCAGACAGGTGACTGACAGCCAGCTGGCTGACCTCAACAACGTCGGCATGTACAGCCGGTAAGTATCTCGCTACACTAAGTGAGTGCCTGAAGACATCAGAGGAGTCCAGGTTCTTCATTCGTGTATAACCGAACTGAATAATACAACCATATTAGAGTGTTGAACACTTTGACATGAGTCTGGATGTTTTGGTTCTTCAAAACTGGTTTAAAATTCATCTTACGATGGTTTCAACTCTTCTTTGCCTTTATTTCAAACTAAGGGTGCATTATTAGCCTGAATGGCTAGTGGCTTTATTTACCTGAATCTCACAGTGTGTCTTTGGTCATCTTTCTAGTTCCGGCGGTGCATGCACAGCAGCTGCATTCCTGAGAGAGTTCATCACAGCCCCTCATTGGGCCCATCTGGACATCGCAGGTGTGATGAGCAACAAAGATGAAGTTCCCTACCTGAGAAAGGGCATGTCTGGAAGACCAACACGTACACTGGTGGAGTTTGCTGCCGGATTGGCCCACAGTCGCTGAGAGATTGACACAAATAGCAGATCGGACACAAGACTCTCTGACTGTGAGCGGCTTCTATTCAACCCTGATCCCTCAGCAATGGCCAGGTTTAGAAGTCGAAAATGGACAATATCGTATCCATTGAAGAGCTCAGAAAATGTTGGCAGGGATTCATTGCTGTATTTGTTTTTAAACTAACGTGACTGCCACAATGTAATACAGGTTCAGTGGATCCCCACACTGCTGTGATTTCAGCTAAAAACAACTGAAACTTTATAGTTCACATAATTTATGTTGTAGAAAATAAACTCTAATGAATTATGTGTGTGACACATTTATAGTCTCTATAGCTCTTTCGTCGACACAGCACCGATGCACACTGGCTCACACCCAAATATTACACCCTTATATGATTTTTTTAACACCTCATTCCAGAATCATGGGCATTAATGTGCTACTGTAACTGCATCCACTCTTCTAAGAAGGCTTACCAACAGATTTTGCAAACTGGCTGCACTGATTTGCCCCGATTCAGCCAAACATTAGTGAGGCTGAATGATGATATTTGGGAGTTCGTCCAAGATGGCATTCGTCCCAAAGGCCAGTCAAGTTTCAGACTTTGAAAGCAACTTCTTTATGGACCTCTCGTTGTGCAAAGGGGGCGAGTCAGTGCCTTCCCCAAACTGTTGCCACAAAGTTGAAAGCACGCGTTGTCTTGGGACTAAACAAAGCAGCTTGTGTCCCCTCATGAGTTGTGAGGAGTCCTTTCAACCAAATAGTGTTTTTTCCTTATTAAATTGCCTCAGATTCATACTTTGTAGAAGCCCAAAGAGTTGAAAAGATCCACTATTGTGCACGAAATAATGCAGGGAAGGGAAAAGAGTAAAGAAAAATAACCTTTTTTTGTAATATGCTTTAATGTGGGACCAAAATTACTTTTAACAGACACCAGCCAAAGCATGAAAAACGACAACTGGGTTGTCCCCGGTTGTCCCGAGAGCGCCGTCCCTCTGTGTGCGCATGTGCGGACTGGGTAGAGCGACCAAGATGTCGTCGTCCATGAGTGGGATGTTCTCCGGTCAGCAGCCCCCGGGCCCCCATCCCGTCGGTGGTCCCGGTGGACCGGGCCAGCCGGGCTTCCCAGGTGCAGCTACTAGAGCTCCGGGAAACAACACGCTGGTGGACGAACTGGAGGCTTCCTTTGAGGTAAAGCTGACGTTAAGAGGCTAGCGTCCTTTAGCTGAGTGTGCTAACTGTTGTTAGCTTATTTAGCTAAGCTAGGTGATGTTTAATGTTTAGCATTCGCTGGTGTTGTTAAAATACTGCAGTCGCATATGGTAGGACTATGGGAAGAATATTTTTTTTTATTTTACCACGTCTCTATTGAGTACATAATTATTATAACTTTAAAATATAGCAATAGATGGCATTAAACTAAGTGAGCTAATGAGCTACGTGGCTATCAGACTAACGTTACTCCAGTCTCTTATTTCAACACTTAAAACACCCACAGATGTTGACAGCTGACACGAACATGACACATTTAAACATTCCTCCCTACACAACATCACTTTACTCCATTTAAATCCAAAATACCTGCTTCCATAAACCAAAGCAGCTAATTTTTGATTCAGACATCATTCATTTTTGTTATTTACACCTGTGCTTTTTATACTGTGACATATTACTTTACTAGTCCACACAGCCCTGATCGCAAGCCCATCCAACACCTTTGGTATGAACTTCAACTGTGAGCCGTGTTCAACAGTCACACACAGTATGAGTGTAGGAGGTCAACATAAAGTATATAAAAACCTTTTATATACTCGAATATTTACATCTCCACTATCCCATAAACATCTTTATCATGGTACAGACTATGTAGCATATATGGTCAATTCTGCAGGATGTTTCTTAGGCTAAAAAGCTGGTTTCAATCAAAAGATTCTCGCGGCAAATTCACCCAAGCTGTGCACTTTTCTTTAGGCATGTTTTGCATCCCTGGTGAGCCAGGACTACGTTAACGGAACTGATCAGGAGGAGATTCGAACTGGTGAGTGAAACGTCTAATTCATTATTTTTTGTAGTTTTAGTTTATCTCCTATTGTGATCTGTGTATTGACGTTCATCTATTTGTCTGTTGATTGTAGGTGTTGACCAGTGTATACAGAAGTTTCTGGATGTGGCTCGACAGACGGAGTGCTTCTTCTTACAGAAAAGGCTTCAGTTATCTGTGCAGAAACCAGAACAGGTGGTGAAAGAGGTACATTATTATACTGACTTGCATTCTTATTCATCTCGACTTTTCGATCTTTTTAAGTGGTTCTCTCCAACTCCTGTCCACATATTTCCCCCTCTGTGTAAATGCAAAATGAACTCTGGAAGATCCCAAACTCCTTGTTGAGATCCACTAGCTAGCTGTGCTATATCCAGACTTCACTAGCTTTGCCTTTATTTCTTAGACCCGAATCTGTGACATGCTGTCGGTGTTTACGTATTATGCATTTCTCTCCATTTGTTAATGTGCCTTCTCTCTTCTCACCTACATATTTTTTTTCTCACTTCAGGATGTGTCAGAGTTACGTAATGAGCTACAGAGGAAAGAACTGCTGGTTCAGAAGCACTTGTCCAAACTGCACCACTGGCAACAGGTTCTCGAGGACGTGAGCGTTCAGCACCGCAAACCAACAGAACTTCCTCCTCCTGGACCGCTGGCCTTTCTAGAGCAGGCCTCTGCCAGTCTGCCCCCTGCCCCTTTAAAACCAAGTTAACACACCAAAGTTACAGTCACATTAGTCTTCTGTCTAATTACATTGTTTACACCCAGAATGGAATGTTGAACTCTGACCTACAAGCGTCTGTCAGTCGCACCGAAATGGGAAACTAATTTGTTTGCGTTCATCCATCATATAGGCTTGATTTGAAGCAAGATGGAGCAAATATTTGCAGGACTTAGGTACAATCGCATTACACCTAACTGTCACTATACACACCACGTACATATCGTGTGATGCCCGCTCTCAAGTGTCAACCTATAAGAAACTGAAGAACAGTTTGTTTTCACTCTCCAGCTGTTGGAACATCATGACGTAGATCATTTTATTTCTGTATTTTGTTTTATGTAAATATTCCTATTGCCGACTTTTTTTTACTGTAAAATAAAAGTATTTTGACTCTGGACTAAAGTCTTTACTATGTTTTTCTATTTGCACAGTGCATCATTTTTGTCTTTGAAAACAAAATGTAAAGGGGCATTCCACCAATTTTAGACATTAAGATGAGTTTACAAGTCATGGAGAGTTGTACTCTGAACAAACTGTTTTATAATGTATTTTGTAGCTCTGGAAGAGATATTTGTTAGATCTGAAAAAACAAACCCTGTTGTTGCAAACTGAGTTTAAAAGATGGGGGGAATTTGCCAAGCAGAGAGGATCTGACAAAAGCCATTTTGGGATCCAGCATTCTGGGAGCACTACTCATGAGTAAAAGTCAAGATCCTGCCTTCTGCTGCTTAATTATTTGTTTTAATCTTTCTCACAAGTTTCCAAATTTAGTGGAAATGCAACTAAATCAGTGGATTACTCATTTCATAACTTGTCCTATAATTTTAAATATTCACATAGGTATATAACAGTGGAGTCTTGACATGTGTAAAACCATGCTAACAGCTTTAATATTCCATGTGACTTCTGTATGAAATCATGACGGAGAAAAGACTTCAGATAAGCGGTGTCTGAGCCTCCTGACAGCCTGTTGTCTCTAATGCATTCAGCGTCTTCACACCACAACAGACTTGTTCTCCGCAGCTTCACAGCTATCGCCCGTCCACGGACAGCACAGCCAGACACAAACCTTCACAGATGGACTCCAAAGACAGACCAGGGGTCTGGTCTTGACATGATCAAACAGGAGATTTATTATTGCATTTTCAGAACTCCAGATGGGCTAGTCTTCTATTTATACATTTTATATATAATATTAACTTAATGTCTGAATGACTGAATCAGCTGTAGTTGTGAAAAAGATCTTGTTGTGCATCCTCTAGTTGCTCATAATGACTTAAATTTCTGAGACACCAATTCAGAATTTTGATTTATAAAATCTTAAGAGATAGTAAATCAAAATGTTAAGTTTATGAAAATTATGACACAAAACAAAATCACAACAACTGAGTCAAAGTTAATAGACGTCAGAATTTTGAGATACTGAAGACAAAATAGGAGATTGTAAATCAAACTTGTGATATATATCAACGTTTTTAATTGCCAAGTAAATAAGTTCTGAGATATTAAGACAAAATTATGAAATATGAAGGTAGTTAGTCAACATTGCAAGATGGAAAGTCAAAATTGATGGAGCAAGTAAAAAATGTGCACTTACTAAATCAAATGTATAGATTGAATAAATCAAGATTATGAGATAAATCAAAACTACAAGATATGAAGTCAAAATTGAGAGAAAGTAAATCAAATTTAAATAATCAAGTAAATTAAATTACTATGCTATTTTTATTCTAATCTATAATAACATTTCTAATTCTAGATTTTTACACAACAGACCTCTTCACATTTACATCTAATGTACAAGGGAAGCATGTAACATCATCTACTGACCTGCACTATTTATGTACAGTATATTATTGGACACTACCGCTGTACAGTGTGCATTTAATACATAAGATACTTTAGATTCTAGTCTTTTGGGATTTATTCTCACCATTCGTTTTTTCAATTGGCTGCTGTAAACGCTGCAAATTGAATTCAAAATAATGAGATACGGAGTCGAACATTTTGACTTGCAAACACATCATTTTGATTTAGTTTGTCAAGGATGTTTTTGACTTTTGTTTATTCCCAAAGAGTATTTAGTTCACATCATGAGCCTCCTCCCCGGTTGGTCTCCCACAGCTAGAGGGAGACTGTGCTTTCTTGTGGGACGCCTTGGCTGCTCGGAGGACCGTCTTTGCAGACATGTCCTTGTTTGTGCGTTTTAATCAGCGATTGGAAAATAACAGGTAGCCCTGTCTGTTCGCCTCTCGCACCCATATACACCCAGGAGGGGAGAGAGAGGGGGGCGAAACAAAACCCCCACAATAAACCCTCATTGACGCTGCTGGTTGGCGTGGTTTTTTTTCTTCTTTTTTCTTTGGGGCGGCCGACAGAACAGACAACAGCGGTACAACAGCCGGGTTTCAATCGCAACGTGTTTGTTACTGAGTGTCACCCGCAGTCGGGCTGTGTGTTTCTATGAGACAGGCTGATTTAATGGGGCTGCCGTCAGCCCGTCTCGCCGCCTCTGGACAGCTGATCGCCGCGATTCACGCTTGAATTGAGACCCATCAGAGACTACATTGTGGATATGGAATGGTGCATGCCGCTGGGCCAAGTTTTCAGCCTCTGAAAAACACCGGAATCATGGACAGTCATCCGCTGTGAGTGCAACAACAATCACCGTGTGTGTGTGTGTGTGTGTGTGTGTGTGTGCTGACGTTTCCCAGTGGCTGCTTTGACTGATGGTGCCGCATTGAGAGCGACAGCGGCCAGCCGGTGTGGCTGCTCACTGACCGGGGAGGACCGGGTCACTGAGAGCCGGGGACTGATACCCCGTCCGCATCAGGCTGAGGGGGGAGAGGGGTTGTCTGTGGTTGTGTTATAATCCGATGATTTGTTGGGATTACGGAGGTGTTTTTGTTTATGGCAGAGAGGATGTGTGTCAACTGCTGGGTGGTCGTGTGTGTGTGTGTGTGGGTGTGTTTGTGACAGAAAACAAAGGCCACGTGATTTTGCCATGAGCAGCATGATTATATGTAGGCCATATGTGTGTTGAACATAGCCTACATTCACAGTTTTGAGGTACTTGTACTTTACTTTAGTAATTGCAATGTCTTTCTCTTTTATACTTCTACTCCACTACATTTCAGAAATGAGATTGAAATTGTACACACAAAATATATGATAAGTTTATAGAAAACACAATACCATCAGTAGCTTCCAACCTTTTTCTCAAAATTCATTTTAGATTAAGAGGGAGTACAAATCAGTGTAACGTTGTCCTTTTTTATTTCCTCTCCCATTAATCATCTCATGACCCCTCAGATTTATCTTGTGACCCTTTAGAGGCCCCCAACCCCTAGGTTTGGAACCACTGGACTGATCTAGCTAAAGTAGTTAAACTCCAATTTGACCAGCTACAACAGTAAATGCAACTTAATGCATCAGTATTAACAATTTAATAATGTAATACACAATAATATATCATTCATGAGGGTAATTGTTTTGCAGAAAGTGTACTTTGATACTTTACTAGAATACATTTGACTGATAAATCGTCTTCAACTCTAGTAGGATTTTGAATGAGGGACTTTTACTTGTAATCGAGTGTTTTTACATAAATGTATTGGTACTTTTACTGAAGTAAAATATCTGAATACTTCTTCCATTCAGCAGAGCTGAATATTAGATGTTTGTGTATTTGTAGTTGGATGTCCTTCAGATGTGCAGCATCTATAAATTCACACTCACCGGCCACTTTATTAGGTTGAGGCTGGTTTATCATCCGGGCCCCCAGGAGCCAGGTGATTTAATTAATTGCAAATTTGTTAGGGAGGTAATGCACAAAATCAATGATGACCAGCGTGTATTATTAGCTATTGTTGTGGCCCTGTCTTGCAAAAGGCAAAACTTCATCAGAAGACTTTATTAATTAGTTTACATGGAGCATATTCTTAAATAAAGTGGTGGTTTTGATCAAATCACCTCAAACCAACTGACTCACATAAAAGCTGGTGCCGGTTAGTATTATTCCAGCAGAGGAGTACTTGTTGGATCTTTACTTCATGGTAACTTGGAAGCTAAAGGGTATATAAACACTGCTCAGAGGGTTTGAGGTGGGTGGTAGCGCCAGTTTATTAGGTCCTGGACAAAACTAGTGCAGGTTAATACAACAGATCGGCCATAAAACTGTTCGGTTTTAGTCTGAACTGTTTTACAGAGGTGTTGATTCAACAGTGTTTTTGGAGGATGCAGTCTTGTTCTGCACCTCAATAGGAGGTACATGGAATTGAATTCGTGGCACTCACGGCATTGGGAAAATGACAGCTACACTATCTCTCTCAACAATCAATTGCTCAACTACTCAGATACGTAACCAACACATTCTCATTCCAACTCGTCACATACTGACGATTTGTCAGACCCCTTGACGTCACTTTCTAAAGAAAACATCAGGTGGTCTTAACACGAAAACAACATTACAGAAGTACACAAACCTCACTAATGTAACTTCAAAATAACCGACACCGGCGTCCTGGTCGAAAGTCCAGTATTTGTTTGACCCATCCTCACCTGTTGGGGTTTTTTCGATCTTCAAACTGCGTCGTCAGCCTCCCGGAGCATTTTCTCTGAGCGTCTTATAATGACGTGGATGGTGCGTCTCATGGGGATGCTAAAGGGTGCCTTTTGCGTCACTATCAGACGCTGTTGGGCGTGACAAAGCCTCGATATTCGGTGCCCCGGGAATGAGAGCGGGCTGAAATAACATGCGTAACGGTTTTCATGTGTCTGTTGTAGAAAATATTGTATTCTGGTGGAAGCAGAGCAACATCCCAAAACCACATGGCTAGAAACTTCTAGAGGTAAATTTGGGTGAATCGACACTTTAACTGTGAAGTAACCAAATCACAGCTGCAGATCGTCCTACAGTGCTGACTCATTGTAGGTTTCATGCCAGAGCACCATTTGTCACATAATGATCAGTCATACCCCTGGTGACCTCTGTTTCTTTTTCTCCATGTGTTGTTTGTGTTTGGTATTATTGTAATGATTTATACGCATTCTTCCCTTAAAGACATGAAGTGAACTGAATACAATTCAATGCTTTATTTTACTCGTGCACCTGCAGATTGAGCACTTTATAGCCTCTAATGCTGCTAAGAGACATTCAACCTGTTGTGATGCAAACCTAGTTAAAGTCCTGTTTGCAGTGTTTACATCATTTTAGGTCATAGTTGTGGAAAATACTTGTTTCTGATTGTCAGGTGTCAAGAACATCTCATACCTATATCTCAAACATATTTATTCACCTCTTATGGTTGTGAATGAGATACTGTGAGCACTGCAAAAATAAAAATCCATTCACCTCTATTGCATTGAAATGGAGGCAGAAATCTCAGAAACAAATCTCTTAAAACTTGGAAGAATAAAACCAAAACTATCTACAAGGCGTGATATTTTTTTGTAATTTGGGTGAAACAACACTTCAAAATAATTTTTCAAAGTTAATATAGGCATATTAAACTGAGGGCACCGACAGCAACAGTATGTGTTAATTGATAACAGTTAAACCAACTCTTTTTGGTAAAACAAACTTCAGAGACGGATGACGATTTGAACACAGCGTCTGATTTTTCTTGTTTTAAGTGGACATCGTATATAAAAGGTAACACGTTCTAAAATGTCCTGCTATAAAAAAACAACAGCTATATATACATATATCGGGACAACTCGTTATAAAAAAGCATGCTACCGTCTGATATCTGCCCTCAGTAATGTTGTGCATCCGTGCCGTCCCTCTCAGATGCACCAGAATTTGTCCACACGCTCTGGACAAAGAAGATGGCGTCGAGAGACAAGGTCCTGTCACGCTCAACCCTCGGCACATGAGGAAGGCATTCAAAGTCATGAACGAGCTGCGCAGGTGATGCGCACTCTTCTCTTTCCAGTTCTCTATTGTCCTCTTGGGTGCACCCGTTTCAACTTTTCATAATTGTAATCTCTCCCTTGTCCGTCTCCTAAATGCCCACACAGCCAGAGCTTGCTGTGCGACGTGACCATAGTGGCGGAGGATGTAGAGATCGCTGCTCACAGGGTGGTTCTGGCTGCTGGGAGCCCATACTT